GCCTTCCAAAAGTTTCCCGAGCAGTAAAGTTTGTGAAAGCGTTGACGTCGTCTAAACGTCTCCAGAAGAGTTGTAGTAACCCAATACTTCCTTTTCTCTCTCTCCCTTTTTTTTCTATTTCTCTATTTCTCCCTAGTTTTGGCAGGAAGAAAAAAAGTGTGTGAGAAATTGTGTGCGACGGCTCCGGACCAACTGGAACATTCAAAAATTCTAATAGAACCTCTAATAGAAGACCGCTCAAATCGTGTCAACTTTGAGCTCAATTATCTCGATTCTCGTAAGAGATATCAAAAACTTGTCTACTGATAAAACATTGGTGATATTGTGATAAATATTTTATCAGTTGACACATTTTTGATATCTTTCACAGGAATCGAGATAATAGAGCTCAAAGAGGACGATTTGAGTGGGCTTCTATTAGAAGGGGTACGGTATATACCGAAAATTCCAGAAAGTTCGTTTTTTTTTTTGTTTCTTAAATTATTTTCTCCAGAGCTCATTGCATGTTTCCGCGTTTTGAATACGGTAGTCTTAAATCCTGCTTTTCGGAGACATCCGGACACACCAGAAAGACAGACAGAAACGTTGAGATGCTTTGATTGGTCTACGGCGGCCTACCAGCGGACCAGCCAGAGACACCGCTTTCGATAGCCTAGAATTCCGCTGTTTGGACATCCGGACACACAGAAAGACAGACAGAAAGCTTGAGACGCTCTGATCGGTCGATGGCTTCCTGAGAACCTCCAAAAGTCTGTCTCAAGGGGCTCCCAAAAAGCGACATCGAACTTTTCCGTTTTTTTCGAAAAAAAAAAGGAAAATGAGGTCATTTTTTTTGGAAGAAAAGAGACAGCGTTTAGCTTCGTTTTTCCCCAAAAAAAACGGAATAAATTTGAGAAAAACAGAGAAAGTTTTCTTCCGGAAAGTATCGTGAGGAATAAATTATAGAGCTCTCGGAGCTCAGTTTTGGAAAAAAAAATGGAAAAAGGAGAATTGTTTTGTTTTGGGGAACGGAACTTTGTCATCAGAATACTTTGTTAGAGAATGATGGTGGCCGAGTTTTTTCTATTGGATGGGGTTTTCTAGGCCGCCACGCTAAAATGGCCTAGAAATGCCCTAGCATGACCCTGGTGAGTTTTCTAGGTCATTTTGAAGTGGTGGCCTAACTTTTGCAAATTGGGCTTTCTAGGCTTGAAGTGGTGGCCTAGAAAACCAAACTTGCGGGTACCGAGCTCGAAT